AATTTCTCCTTGTTTTAAGATCCAAGGGGTTTGGATCTGTATTCACCAGGGAATTGGTGAAAGGAAGGAGGGGGAAAGGTTAATTTCTCCTTGTTTTAGATCCAAGGGGTTTGGATCTGTATTCACCAGGGAATTGGTGAAAGGTTTTCTCAGGGCTTCCCAAGAAGGGAATCTAACTGGGAAATGGTGGCAGCGGAACCAGAGCTAAGCTGGTAGTTAAGCTTAAGTTTTCATGCAGGCCCCTACATTTGTACCCTAAAGTTCAAAGTGGGGATCCAGCCTTGACACAGCCTGTGACTTGTCCATGACTTATACCATAAATACCCCTGATTGAATCTTAGGGTGGATGGGAAGCCCCAGGGCCAGCCGCTGCTCCTGCCGCCCCTGGGACTGCTGCTCGGGCGGTCCCCAGGGCCAGCCGCATCGGCTATTGCTCGGGCGGTCCCCAGGGCCAGCTGCCCAGAGCCACTGGCTGCTTGGGTGGCCTGGGGACAGCCACAGTGGCCACTGGAGAAGTCACAGAGATCACAGGAAGTCACAGAATCCGTGACTTCTGCAACCTCCGTGGCAGATGCAGAGCCCTAATTATAGTACACCACTGTCCCTGTTGCAAAGAACTTAGTTGAAGTAAACAAGACAAAGGGTGGGAGAGAGGATATATTATTCTCATTTCATAGATGCGGAAGTGAGGTACAGTGAGATCAAGGCCTTGATTCTGCAGAGAGTTCTACTGGAGCGTAACTTTAAGTACTTGTGTAGTGCCAGTGGGTCAATCTGTTCTTGTCTTTAAAATTAAGCATGTAAATCTTTGTAGAATTGGGACGTAAGTGATTTGCCCCTGGTCACACAGGAATTCTGGTGCTACACCAGCACTATCTCACACATAATGTGAGTGAACTATAATACTGAAATAGAGAACTGTAAACTAGCTAGCCAGCTAATCATGTGTATTGGATTCATTGCTGCCTGTGTCTTTGAATAGCGTTCCAAATGGGGCCTACTCTAAGTTCATAAACATGCTGTAGTCCCCCCCTACACACACTGCTTTATTCAAAGGAATAAAACAGAACTCTGATCAGTTTGTACGTGCATCAGAACACATGTGTAAGTAACTTGAGCATAGAGCTGCTTCTTTATCCATGTGCACCTTAATACAGCTGTGCAACTGGATGCCAACAGAAGAGAAAAGACTTTTCAAAGCAAGAGGGGAAATACAAACAGCTCTGGTATGTTGACTGGTGTACCTGCTAGGTTGCATTCTATGTGTTTCCAAGTACCAACTACAAGGCTGATACGCCTACTCTTGTTCTCTGTGGGCTTTGATCACGAACTGAAATAATCTCCAGAAACAAAATAAGTGCTCAGCTGAAATGCTGCTGGCAATTGTTCATCTATAAAATAGATGACAGTGCTTACCTACCTAACAGGAGTGCTCTAAGTAAAAAAATCATTGATGTTTGAAGAATTTGATTGCTGCTGATGCGGGGGTAGAGGGTCTAGAAGCAAGTCTAGCTGTGACTTCTTCCAGGGATCTTGACAGGGTTACTCAGTCTTAGTATATCATGTGTCATTGTACACCTTACAGATGTACTGGGTGTCACTTCTGTGGAGGGGAACTCGCTTTGCATGCACTGCAAGGCAGCTTTTGATGGGTCTGCTGCTCATCAGAAGATTTCACCACATTCTTCAATGGAACATCTAAAATTTCATTCCTAATTCTTAAAAAAGTCTCATACAAATAACTTTAGCTTGAGCTACATCGTTTAATACAGTTTTTTGTATAGTTGAGTCAAATAGGCATACAAATAGGCCATTTTACAAAAACTCACACTGACCCTGAGTATTTGAGTAGCCCCAATTTGATACCACATGGCATGAACCGATCTCCACTCTACTCCAAGTTGCTTTGTTTCATTTAGATGTGAGAGCAGTTTTATCTCCTTCTGTAATGAATACTCTCAAACCCTAACATCATACTTGGAGTTTTCTCCTTGATCTGTTACATTAAACAGTTTCATTTTTTTTTTTTTTTTTAATTCCAGACCCTCCTGGCCTTGGTTCTTTTGGTCCAGCACTGATACTTTTCATTTTTTTTATTTTTAAAGCAGGGCAGTTAGCACTGTCTATTCTTAAGGTTGTGTAACACTTCCTATTATTAGACCCTGTTTTCAGTTGCTTATCTTTGCCATAATTTAACTATGACATTTTCAGGGTGGGTGTTGGCCAAAACAGTCTAGCCACTTCTGAGAATGAGGTTGGCGAAAATGTATTTTTCCCTAATGTTAAAATCTGTATCCTTTCTTTTGAAAACCTCTAGTGACTCGATGCTGGAAGTTGAAATTAGGCAGGGAATGGCCTTTGTGTCAAATGTGCTTTTGTCTTTTCCTGTGAAAATCCACCCACATTTGGCCAAGTTAAACATGTTTTGAAAAATCTGACTTTTTTCATGTTCCATAGTTACTTCATAGAGCTTAGCAGCTACAGTCTCTTAAGGTTCCATGCACATTGGGTATGCTGCAGCCCTACAGCTCCTGGATGTGACCAGACTGCAGACAAGCCATCTCTACACATTCTCCAGAACGCAGAGCCAGGAAGCCTGTCTCTCCTCTGCTCTCAGTGACACTCTGCTAATGCCCAGTCAGCCTGGAGGAGGAAGCAGACTGCCTCAGATGCAGAGGGGATAAGAGTTAGACCAGGGAGAAAGAGAAGGAAATAGATTGGGATTGAGAGCAGGGGAAAATAATGCTGGTACTGTTAGATCAAGTGCCTGAGGTCTGTGTGGTAGATCTAAAGATTCTAACCCAGCTAATGACCCATGTGAATGTCAGTGTGATGCCGCATACTGGAATCTTTTTCAGTTTGCTTTTTGTGTGTTCTATTTCCTATGTTAAAAGAACATTATTAAGGTTGCCAAGTCAAGCATTAAAAAATTAGGAAATGCAAGAGTTAAGGTTGCCTGTGCAACCTTAAATCTTGCATTTCCTAATTTTTTTAATGCTTGACTTGGCAACCTTAATAATGTTCTT